AAAAAAAAGTAAGCATGCTGTTTACACAAACTACATTATTAACATCATTGTGATGTTCACTGATACTAGTACTAATTTATCGAAATAAAGAACACAATTACTACATAGCAAACATATTTTACCATACAGCAAATAAATCGAATGAAAGTAACATCTGTAAAATAGTGAATGCACACTTACTCTAAGATTCTGAAAGAAGTTGAAAACTGAACGAGCGTCCCCTTCCTGTGTAAGATGCAGGTGAAGGCAAGAGTGGTGTATTCACAGTCCTAAAATAATTTTATAAACAATTGTTATTCGCTAGCAATTTTTCCCCACAGTACCTTAGTATAGTATGCATACTTCATGAGAAAACAGAATGCCAATAACAAAGAAACTACATTTTAACACTATCAACCACAAATAATATTACCTTATAGTCTAGGCATAATAAAAGTACAATTACTATACTGTGCACTTACTCAGTATGATTTTCCAGCGAACTCAAAACTGAACGACACTCGCATGCCTTTCTTGTGCAAGATGCCGGTGATGCAGCCAGTCCTAAACGAACATTTAAATAGTTTCAAACATTTCAGCATCATTACGCCAGTCTTCAGTGTCACATATTCCTTCAGAAATAGTTCTCAAAAACATTTATTATTATTATTACTATTATTATTGTTGAAAACAGCTGAGTATAATTTTTCCAGGTTTCTTTGATAAATAGAAAGTTCAGAAGAACAGCATTTATCTGAAATAGAAATATTTTGTACCTTATAAATGTTTGTATCTTCACTTTTGATCAATTTAAAGCATACCCCACTAAAATAAATAAATACGTGAGCATGTTGATAGCATGTTGATAGAAACTATATTATTACATTAGCAATCACTAATATTTCCCACGTGATTTTATATCATAGATGCACATACAGTACAAAAAGCACATTCTATATCTGAGAAACTAAATTGGTAAGCACATGTTTGAACATATCTGCAGACAGGGTATTTCACGGTAATGATTGGTCTAAACATTCTTAGACATTACTTTTATATCGTCTAAACAATACTTTTATATAGTATTGTTTATAGAACATAAAACCATCCTCACGCCGTACATTCAGATGTAATGAAAGGTTGCCTATCATATTTCAAAATGTTGCACTCGATTTCACACATTTTAGTCTGGAATTATAGTTTGGGAAAAGTCCAACTAGTAAATGTGTTAAAGTTTATCTCACAACAACACATTATCTAATGCAAATAAGAAACATACTACTCGGCATGAAATATCTCCTTTGCTGGCTCCAGCCGCGCTCGCATTCTGTTTGTGAGGTAAACAAAGCTCTCAGCGCCTCTTCTGGGGTAAATACAAGGCTTATTCCTGGCTTTGTCTTCTTCCAAAAACGAAAAGTATCTGAGATGAACACGTTGCTGCTTTATTTACGGTGATGTGGGCGTTTACGTGTCGCGCGTCTCACGTGGAGATTTGTCAAATATACAGCGCGTGGGCGGGATCTAATTGCAGATAATGAGAACAGACGGAAAAACTGGACATGTCGTTGGTTTCATACGGATTACTTTATCACATAATATTTGTTTTCATTTAAGAGTAGACATGTCAAGCTTTCTATAGATATATTTCTCGTGTCTGTGTGTAAAGTATTCGCTGAGTTTCAGTTCGTTTTTGTGACGCGTTTCTAAAAGCAGTTCGCTGACACAGTGAAGGCTGTGCGCACCCGGTTTGTTTTCTTTATTTTGCAAAAGTTTTGTTGATATGGTGAGCATACACAAATAAACGTAGACCCTTTACAGCAGGGGTGCCCAAACTCGGTCCTGGAGGGCCGGTGTCCTGATGAGTTTAGCTCCAACCCCAATTAAACACACCTGAAGCAGCTAATCAAGCTCTTACTAGGCATACTAGAAACTTGAAGGCAGGTGTGTTGAGGCAAGTTGGAGCTAAACTCTGCAGGACACAGGCCCTCCAGGACCGAGTTTGGGCACCCCTGCTTTACAGATTCAAGCGATGTATTACTTTTATGTGTCCAATCAAAAGTGACAGAGCATTTTAAGTTCTTTTCTCTGTCATCTGGAAAATATGCAAGTGCTCCCGCCGGCGTCTTTGCCGACCCCAGGCGGGTTTAAAATCAACTGCCTTATAAACACCTCTTTCGTCATATGATATCTTGCCTGGGCTTGACGCCCACACAACAGCCTATTCAGCAGAATGAGGAAGTCCCAGGAAAAATTATTTTTCACAGAAAACTAGTCAATACAGAGAGTACAGTAAAACAGCACACAAGCTGGAAAAACTATTTAACAAATATGGGCTAAGTAAAGAAACAACAGACTGGACGTGGGACCAAAATGACAAGGCAAACACGAAGAGCTGCATTACATGTGTTGTGTTTATTCCTGTAATACAAGAATTGTTTCCGTTGGGAGAGACGGTGGGGATTCATACATACCCACGTGTGTAATTACTTAAAGTCGCCAACAGAGGTCACAAAACCATCATTAATTGAACCAGAACAAACCAATTCTGGTGAAAGGCATGCCATTTATACTTAAGCATTTTTAACCCAGTTACATGTTAGTTTTACTGTTGTCAAATCTTGGTTTATATTGTACCATTCAGTCTTTATGGGTCAAGTAGAAGTAATGGTAAAGTAGTGTTTGATGATGTTTTCCCCTATTCCATCTGAGACAAACACCATGTTCAAAATGTTGGTGTGGTTAAGAGTCGATTCGATTTGAAGTAATCTGGAATAATGTCATTTGTGATGACAAACAAATACATGTGGTGTGACTGATTTATTTAATAAAACATTCCAAGAAAAACACATTTCTTCATTTTGATGTTACAGAAAAAACACCACATTTCTAGGATGGGCCTCTGAATCTGCCAAGGAAGAGGATGCTGTTAGTGGGGTTGTGCCTGATGAAGAACAAGAAGGGATGATCTGCTATGAAATGTTTTGGTGGAATGCTACAGCAAAGCATTACCAAACATGCAGTGGCTGCTGCTGCCTCAGTGCCTTCCTCATTGACCTCAATAAAAGCCTTGTGGACCACCGCTGAAATGAAGAGACCACCTTTACTGCTCATGCCTGTCAGATCAGCCTTTGATTCCTGGAACACAGAGCTCATACCCATCTTTTGCAAATTTTCTGATAGGGAAATCTCAACCTCCAGCTTGAACTTTGGCAAATGGACTCTGATATCCATCCATGTGGCCATTTTGTCTCTTTCGGTCCAGTCAAGCAGCTTGTCAAGGGTCAACTCGCTCTCCAGCTGTCAAACACACACACATACTGAAAAATAACATACACAGCGCCAAACTATTCCACAGGATCAAAACTAGCCATCTTTCATTGATTATGCCACTTTTGCTGACCTTAAGAAGCGGGTCAGAACCATCCTGAGATTCATTTGGAAGAAGGATCAACATGCTGAGCTCCTCCTTTATGTATGGCAACTCCAGCACCTGCAGTTCATACTCTGGGATGTATCTGAAGGGGAACTTCTTCTCCTGGTACATCATTTGCACAGGCCGGTGCTCATTCTGTTTGTAGATAAATGCCAGTACATTCAAAATTACTTACAAAATTCAACACGTGACCTTTATATTTATTTTTCATATACACTCCTGAAATAAAATGCAGATCACACCTGGTTTATTTTAAACGGCATTTCTTTAGTGTTTCTTGTTTCAAATGGGTGCATCCAGTTCCCTTTGAAGTAGATGGCATTAACCAGCGCTAGCCGGGTCAGCTCATTTACAACACCGCGCTTAAGAAGATCTTTAATTTTATCTGAAGTGAAAAACAAACAAAAAACAGTATTTCATTATTTATAGTGTTCTGATCATTGACATCAAATCACTGTATGTTTTACTTTTTTCACAGTTTACAAGTAGCCTACCAACATCAGTTCTCTATTAAACAAAGCAAATATAATTCTGATTTCAGCTCAAACTCTAATCAAACACACTAGACCGTAAATTTCAAGTTAACTTTCATTAGATGGTTTAGGTGTGTTCAATTAGGGTTAGAACTAACATCTGCAGGACAGTGGCCCTCAAAGAGCAGAATTATGCATCCCTCTTTTAATTCTTGCTATCCACAAAATTTCTCTTTCATATTCTGATCACTCTCTTCTCACTCTCTGTCTGCTCTTCCACCCATTTGTTAATGAGCTGTCGTGACTCGTCAGATGCTCCAATGAAGTCTACAGCCAGAAGGTCAGCGTGGTACAGCTTCAGAGTGGAGTCCAAATACTCCTGCAGCACAAAATAAAGGTGGTATCTCATTCGGAAAGAAAAATAAAAAATAAATAAATAAATCAATCACAGCGCATTTTTATATGAATTATACACATTCTCTCAGATAAGGCAAAGCATGAATTTAGCAAAGCACACAGAGAGCATTAAAATGTCTCACTGAAGGCAGAATGGACTCACAGGTAAGAAGCTGAAAGTTTTCTCTCCATAGAGGCGATTTGCTAGTTTGAGGATGTAGGAGGCTGATGGACTGTTGAGAGTTGAGGTGAGGGTCTCAAAATGAGAGTGAACATCAGAGACAGAACTAAAGGACAAAACCTGCAAAGAGAAAGACAGATGGGTGAACTATGAACATATTTGATATTATGACATAATTTTCATGACAATTAAGCTTTATTACCATAATGCAATGATAAATTATTTTATATGTAATATAGCCTATTTATATATCGTTAGCATTTCTTGTACTGTTTTTCATCAAACTTATTAAAAAGCATTGCAATCTAATGAACCACCAAGAATCACCATTACTTCTGTTGGAGCACAACTAGTATTAATTTCTTCATCATTAGTGCTAAAATAGATTATCAGTAACAGAAGTGGTATGATTTACAGAAACGTTACAGACACAATCAGAATGATATTTAAAGTAATAGTACCAACAGTAACATGTCAGTTCCTCATACCTTTGCCATTTCTTTGGCAGTTTCTCCTCGGGCTCCCAAGTAGACCATGCTGAGCGCTGCACTGATGCTCAGTGGAGAAAAGAACTTGTTTCCCTCAGCGTTGCTCGCGCTCAGAGCTCGATAGAGATCCAGAGCGAAGAGACTGTTAGCACGAGAGAGACCCTCCATGACTGATGATACTGCTAGAAATACCAAAACAACAATAGTTGAGTATCATACTTTATACAACCATCTTTCAAAAACACTAAATATAAATGTAGTAGGCTATTTTACTTTTATTAACGATGTCCTTTCGGCGTAGGCTAATTCAGTTGTCCTCTTCGTTGGTTCGACAGCTCCACTGCATACGTTTGTAAAGTGTTGTTGTAGGCTGCGTGTTCAAAATATTCACTGGATGTTCTAAAAGATGTGATTATGCCGACAATGTTTAATAAGAACGTACTGCCCTGCTTTGCTTTACTTTGGTGTTGTTGTTGCTGTCTGTCGGAGTGTGGACTGGAGGGGGTCCGCCCTGTGTTAGGACGTCTGCAGAACAAAAAGGGCGTTTCTCAATCATTGACCGACACGAGTTGCTAAAATCGTGTATGTACCATTATGGTGCGTTCAAGTCATGTCGGATAGATCGTGTTTACGAGTTGAACGCACATGAACGCCACCACAAAGTCGTTATTACGAGTGGGGAAACTCGAAATTTTCTTTAAGCCCTGAGTTTCCGAGTTGGGGGCGTGTCAATGAGAAACATGGCGGAATCGATGGATGCAACGTCTGTAGTTGACAGTAATTTTTTGTTTAAATTGATAGTTTAGTTGTCCTATAAACTTAAATTGGTCATGTTCTTGTTACGCAGCTGAAATCCAAGTTAAAAAATGCAGACCCTGTTGTATTTTCTTGTCATTTATTAAAAAAGGTACACCGCCATCTTGTGCCGACTAAACTGACTTGAACGCACCTGACGTCGTAATTACGACTTGTCAACTCGTAAGTAGGAACGTCCCAGGAGGACTTGAAAGCAGCATGCATACACCCCTAAAACCCAGTAACGTTAACCCCTCACTGCAGAATACAAGATCCAGGGGGCGTGGTTGGATCCACATCTAGGGGGTGGAGATTGGTAGGTTTAGGGGTGGAGATGGGTGGGTTTAGGGATCAGGGGGTGGAGACGGGTAGGTTTAGGTATATGTAAAGTGGGAGGAGTTGGATCTGGATCCAACCACGCTCCCTGTATCTTGTGTTCTGCAGTGAGGACCACCTCTTCTTTAGAGATACACAGCCTGTCTCAAAACCACTGATCTATAGCTATAATAAAAATAAAATCTATTATAGATCAGTGCTCAAAACCCACACTTGCGATCTTTGCATTTGACCACTTCTGACTTCTCACATTACGTATTTCCGGTGTTTGGCCCAAATGTTCAAGTGGGCGTCAGAACGACAAAGTGTGTGTAGAACCGTTGCTTACCCGATGGATCAAACTTGTTATATATACATTTTTTTGCACATTTTGATTTTTAAAAGGTTGCACTTAAAAATAAACGTACATGTCTATTCAGTAGACCCTGTAACTAATTAAATAATTTATTAATTGTAGTGCTTATAATTGATAAAAAGCAGTTGCAAATGTTTCTATGAAATAGGCCTACACATAGGCTATTCATCTCTGCACCAATACAATATGCAACACTTTTCTATATTTTACTACCTAATTACATGTAGGCTAATAGACTATCTAAATAATTGAGCTTACCTACACTTTCCTCGACATCTCATGATTTTTGGGCATGTGAGTTCAACATGAGTTTAGTTGTCCTATAAACTTAAATTGGTCATGTTCTTGTTACGCAGCTGAAATCCAAGTTAAAAAATGCAGACCCTGTTGTATTTTCTTGTCATTTATTAAAAAAGGTACACCGCCATCTTGTGCCGACTAAACTGACTTGAACGCACCTGACGTCGTAATTACGACTTGTCAACTCGTAAGTAGGAACGTCCCAGGAGGACTTGAAAGCAGCATGCATACACCCCTAAAACCCAGTAACGTTAACCCCTCACTGCAGAATACAAGATCCAGGGGGCGTGGTTGGATCCACATCTAGGGGGTGGAGATTGGTAGGTTTAGGGGTGGAGATGGGTGGGTTTAGGGATCAGGGGGTGGAGACGGGTAGGTTTAGGTATATGTAAAGTGGGAGGAGTTGGATCTGGATCCAACCACGCTCCCTGTATCTTGTGTTCTGCAGTGAGGACCACCTCTTCTTTAGAGATACACAGCCTGTCTCAAAACCACTGATCTATAGCTATAATAAAAATAAAATCTATTATAGATCAGTGCTCAAAACCCACACTTGCGATCTTTGCATTTGACCACTTCTGACTTCTCACATTACGTATTTCCGGTGTTTGGCCCAAATGTTCAAGTGGGCGTCAGAACGACAAAGTGTGTGTAGAACCGTTGCTTACCCGATGGATCAAACTTGTTATATATACATTTTTTTGCACATTTTGATTTTTAAAAGGTTGCACTTAAAAATAAACGTACATGTCTATTCAGTAGACCCTGTAACTAATTAAATAATTTATTAATTGTAGTGCTTATAATTGATAAAAAGCAGTTGCAAATGTTTCTATGAAATAGGCCTACACATAGGCTATTCATCTCTGCACCAATACAATATGCAACACTTTTCTATATTTTACTACCTAATTACATGTAGGCTAATAGACTATCTAAATAATTGAGCTTACCTACACTTTCCTCGACATCTCATGATTTTTGGGCATGTGAGTTCAACATGATGAATGATGGGATATGCTGTGTATTTAGTGTGCATTAATAGCTGCGTTATAAATGTCTTTTCTTTATCAAACAGAGATGTCAGCCTGCCTAATGACTGTACTGACTTTACCTTTTTGTCCCAGCTAGCGAATTTGCAAAGTAATTCTTGTGATAGTCAATAAAAGCATTATCAAAAATGTGTTGAAAATGTGTTGCATTGTGCGCCATAATTTTCCATCTAAATTTTAACTCAAAATTAGTGTTTTTCCATCTCAATACAAATCAAAGACATTATTACATTATAAAAAACAAAAAAGAATACAAAATGTGAATTACTGACATCTAAATACTAGTATTTATTGTTTATTTTAGTGTTAGACAGACAAACATCACATATTTAAGATGGGCCTCTGAATCTGCCGAAGAAGAGGATGCTGTTGGTGGGATTGTGCCTGATGAAGAACAAGAAGGGGTGATCTGCCATGAAATGCTCCTCTCGTAACATACAGAATGCCACAATGGCTGCCGTAGCGGCTGCTGCCTCTGTGCCTTCTTCATTTACATCCACAAAGGCCTTGTGGGCCACTGCCGAAAGGAAGAGACCACCCCGACTGCTCATGCCAGTCAGATCAGCCTTTGGACCCTGGAACACAGAGGTCATCCCCATGCCCATCAATATTTCTGCTAAGGAGCTCTCTACCTCCAGCTTGAACTTTGGCAAGTGGACTATGATCTCTGTCTGGGTGTCCATATTGTTTCTGTTGGTCCATTCATGCAGCTTATCAAGGGTCAGCTCGCTCTCCAGCTGTCAAACACACATGTGCAAATTCTTTGAGTCTCTGAATATATACAAGATAACAATATAGTCAAGTCAAGCAGATTAGTACAAAAACTTTTTGCTGACCTTAAGAAGAGGGTCAGAGCCATCCTGACTTTCTTCAGGAAGAAGGATCAACATGCTGAGCTCCTCCTTTACATATGGCAACTCCAGCACTTGCAAGCGGTGGTCATAGACATATTTGAAGGGGAACTTTTTCTTCTGGTACATCATTTGCACTGCTCGGCGCTCATTCTGATGGAAGACAGATGCACATACCAATGCGAAAGTGAACATGAAAATGAGTATGACCCTCTGTCATAGATATGATGTAGTATGCATAGTGTAAGGACATACAACTGCATTTGTACAATATTTTGCAAACAGACCTGGTTTATTTTAAATGGCATTTCTTTAGTGTCTTGAGCATTAAATTTCTGCAGCCAGTTCCCTTTGAAGTAGATGGCATTAACCAGAGCTAGTCGGGTCATTCCGGTCACCATTCCCAGCTTGAGAAGATCTTTGATTTTATCTACAAAACACAAGTTTGCGTTCCTGACTTCACATCTTTTGAAATATATACTCAATCAACAGGTCCAAACTGATTCTTTAATCTGAAATAGAACTGTATATGGAACTGATCTTCTCACTCTCTGTCTGCTCTTCCACCCATTTGTTAATGAGCTGTCGTGACTCATCAGATGCTCCAATGAAGTCCACAGCCTGAAGGTTAGCGTGGTACAGCTTCAGAGTGGAGTCCAAATACTCCTGCAGGACACATGACACCAATCAGCAAAAAGGACTCAAAAAAAGACCTCTAAATTGGAAATTTATAATGGAGGGAAAAGAATATATCTAAGGTTTAGCTTCATAATGTCCCATTTTGAAGGCGGAATGGACTCACAGGTAAGAAACTAAAGGTTTTCTCTCCATAGAGACGGTTGGCCAGTCTAAGGATGTAGGAAGCTTGCTGAGGTGGCTTGTTGATTGCAGAGGTGAGGCTCTCAAAATTAGAGTGCACATCAGAGATAGAACTGAAGGACAAAACCTGCAAGAGAAAGAGAAGTTCACATATTAACTGTATTTGTTTACACTGGAGAGACTTTGCTAACAGTTTTACAAAATTGTAATTTTTTTAAATTATATATATCTCTTTTATTCAAAAGAAGAAGAAAAATGCCCATGGTATGTCTTACAGAATAAGCTAAAAAGGGTGTGCACTGAAGAGCCTGTTCTGACCACATTTATTACAAGGAGTAAACTAAATCAAGGACTTGTTGGGGTCTGAAGTCCGTTGTCAAGCCAAGCAGAGATGAGTCTGAACTTAAAACAAATGATGGCAGCAAGCTCAGGGCAGGCGCAAGTTGGCTTTCGTGGCTAAAATCTGGAATATCTTCTAGGTCCATTTCAGTTATTTTTTTCTTTCAAATCTGGATGCATTTTTCAGTTTTTTAAGCTCCTTCTAAAAGAGCAGCTTGAAAGAGTGAGAAAGTGAGGTATGTGGAGCTGTGATCTTTTGTTTACACTACTCCGGCTCTCCCTCTCTCTGTTGAGTCAGTTGCTCGCTGGTTGTATCACAGTCTGTATGCACTCTTTGGCTAATGAAATGTACTGCTATGTCTAGTTCATCAATAAACGTCAAATGCTTTGCATTTGATTTCAGCCTAAGCATGCAAATATATAGATTGATGATGTATGCTTGAAGTCAGCATTTAGCACTGCTGTGTTGATGTAACTTGGAACATTTTCATTACTTCTGTATGTTAGTTAATATGTAACTGCAGTGGCTATACCTACCAAATACTGTACTATAGCTTTGCTATAGTATTCACCAGCATACACTTAGTAGTGTCGGGTCAGTAGGTACTAACTGAACTCACTTAACCTGAATGACAATAAATTATTCTGAAAGGGAGTACATTTTCTGCAGTAAAAAAAAAAATTGCTTTGGAAATTTTATTGAACTGGCAACATCCATGGATAATGAACTGAAATGACACTGAATGAGAATTCCAACTCAAACTTTCACAGTTACCCAACAGAAAAGAGTAATCATTTC